GTGCCGGACGTAATGACGTAGACGCCAAGCGCAGGTAATAAACATGTGAAAATCTAGAAAATCCGCAACAACAACAACAACAACAACAACAACAAAATCACAATCCTGACCCGAACGCGAAAACCGGAAACTGTATTTATCTCCACTCCCTTCCCTCTTCCCATCAACCGGAATAACCACTATACATACTTATTACTTTGTATCGCCTAGATCGGTGGGTCATCAAACTTCGCCAATTTATTTTCTGGCTCACAGCCAAATAATTTATTTTCTCGATGAGTTAAATGAGGTTTTCTTGGGTTTTCCCGAAAACTTCATGAGTTTCAACTGCGCCTCGGACGATATTAATTGGTGACCCCGGCGGGCACGTCATTATAGATCCTCGTGCTCATAGATCGTGCGTTTTTAAGAATCACGATGACCAAGGTCGTGGTAAGTAAAAATGTGAATGAAAATGTGCGTAAGAACAAGATTAACTTTAGCGTGGATATAACCATCTCAAATCTAATCGGTGTAGCAATAATTCAGCTCACCATTTAAAATATCCAATATTATGATCCGATTTTGCGTATTGCAGATTTGCAGGYTAATACTGAATAATTGGTTCGCATTATATCGCATCTACTTTCATGCAGATGGGTGAGTCATCGGGATTTAACCCCTCCCACGGGCCACGTGTGTACATTATTTTGGGATGTAAAGGTTTACTAAATGTTGTTGGGATTTTAATATATTTGTTTGGTAGGTGTTACATAAACGTCAATCGTCATCACTCATCATATTTATCACTATAATAGACAATAGTGTCATATTATCTAAGATCATACCTTAAGTTTGCCATGTTTGTGTTTTATACTTTTATACGAAATATTTTGTTACCAATTTATTTTCGGTGACAATTCGATTCCAAATAGTGGTGGTAAACGATAAACCATGAATATTTATATTTTATAACGTAATTATTATCACCTGTCAACCAACTTCAACTATGGGTTTATTTAATATCACTGTAAATATTCCGCACATAAAAACGTTTGTTGACTTTGTTTTGTTACTCCGAATAAGGTACTTATTGCTCAAGTTATATGGGGTGTCGGGGCGTTTACGTAGACATCACAGAGAGTAACATTTTTTTGTGATTAAAATTGTATGTTATTAGTAGATAGGTGGTCTATGGTAGTAATCGAGCTAAAGAAATAAAAACAATTTTGAAAACGAATATTGGTGAAAACATTTTTCTACATTTTGGGGAARTAGAACCCCCAATCCACCTTGATTTCCACCTCCATATCTCGTGCAAACGAGTATTTAGCATTCCCCGACCAATAAATTAAAATAGGTCAGTGAAGCTAGATAATATGCTGAGGTATCATAAATATTTCCTGTATGACGCCGCCAGACACACGGGCGCGGGCAGTCCCGTTGTCGCTGCAGATTGATTCGGCGAGAACGTAGGTACGACGGTTGTACGTGTGAAACGGCGACCGTAGTACGGGCTAGGCAATCTGAACTTGCCAAGTGTTTAATTATATTTGTTTTTATTTAATAAAAGAGTTTCCGACCCGAAAACCCGAGTTTATTTCAAGTCTTCTTCGTTCGTACATTTTTATTGGAACAGTGCTATAGTCAACGAAGTGTATTTTAAATTGAATAGCGCTACGGCCGTGGGTCCTAAATAGTAATTTTCAATATTAGGAAACGGACGAGGAATCGACAAACGCACGCCTATATAAGTCACAAGCGCTAATCTAAATTTATTTTAGAGAGAGTCACTAACTTAGAACGTACGAAGGTGAGGCGCATAATAATTGGTCCATTTTGTTCGCCGCGAATAAGCTAATACCTACGGGTGATACCACATAATATTACGCAGCAGGTATCGTTATTTTTCTACCGACAAATCAGACGAAATGGCCCCCAAATAAAATGCATTGCGCGGGACAACGTTGATGGGAAACTTGGGAGATCAAACTAAAGGCACATAATATTATATAACTTATGACGATATTATCAGTGTCGTGGTGAATACATATAGGTATAACAAACGGGCGATTGCCCTTGTCGAGGGGGGAGGGTTCCCCCTTAAGCCGGTACCACTTTATGGGTAGACTAAAATTCCTGTTTATTATGTAATACCTACCGTGTATTTTATAACGCAAAATAATGTTCGTCAATTACTTTGGGCATTACACCAAAAGATGTTGAAAACATTGTCGGCACTTAATATCTATATATATATTGGGGTGGGGGMGGAGGGAGTCGTTCTAAAATACGTGTTTTCCCGCAGTTATTATCATTCGCCAAGCCATTATATTATTCTGATTCGACGGCACGGAAAAACGTCGTGGCGTAACACGATCGCACGAGCTCGGCTACATTACAATAYAGCAATAGTGCATAACTGTACAATAGTTAACCGAGACGCGCGCGCGACTCCTTCATCGTTTCCGGAAAATAATTATCCGACGCAAATTCAAGGCCAAGTCTGTCGTTATAATTCGTAGGCACAGCGGCGCACACTAAAATCGCGTATGATGTAGGTACGTCGTTATACACCATGTGTAGTTATGACCTATAACTATTGTAGCTAGCTATAGATATGCGCCATTATGTCATAGTATTATTATACGTTATGTGCACGTTAATAAACATTGGTAGGTATCGTATTATATGGATGCTTGCAATGGCATGCGCGAGGCGATTCGCCTCATGACCGCGTGCGGATTGTGAAAAAAAACCGATTTGAAATCCACAAACGTATACACTCGGTTTAACGCACATTGTTCTTTTTTATTTATCAAACGCACGATACATTATATTATTATCATAGATTATCAACATTCCGCATGAATACACAACACAACAAACATAAGATAACAATAATAAAAATATCCGTAATAGCATAATATAATCATAATAGACAATATACAACAACGATAATAAAATGTTATTTTGTAAGACAACATACATATATATATACCACAGTAGGCATAGTCATACAACGGCCACATATATTAAAAAAAATATWATATATAATCACGAAATCGGTAATCTTACACGCGAAACTATAAGTTATTACAGTAATATGCACATACCATTATTATCATTACCACTACTACACGCGTATTTGTGTATCGGTTTCATGACGTAGGTACATAATAATATGMTCGTGCCTCGACAATAACGCCTGTAGGTATGGATAGGTTAACTTACTCGTGTTTCGTTTACGCAGATAACTACCACACAGCGGTTCTCAAAATTTTTTTTAAACATTTGATTCTCGATGAAAATAGAAAAATTCTCATACTCTCCCCTTCCCACCGCACATGAATATAAAACAAAAAAGGCGCGTGCGTACAATCTATACTTTGTCGGTTTTGTACTTACGTTTTTGTGTCAAAAGAAAAATGATGAGTCGATTATAATTGCCTATAGGTAATATAGAAAATTAATATTGGTTTTAGAAAATTAAATGTAATCTAAAGAAATTGTTGTGATTAACTTTGGTAGTGTTAAAAACCAGTACACAACCAYTAACATGGTCAAACAATAAACAGTAAGTGCTCAGTAGGTCTGGGAAYCACTGTCATTGATATTATTTAACTGAAAATTTCGCGTATCATCAGAAAAAAAGTTGAGGTGTCTAAACGGATATATAGAGAAAAAATTTTACAAGTAGACGTGAAAAATAATAATTATAAAATAATAAAAAATATTGACGGAATACTAACATTTCTATTTTTAGAGAGGGAGAGAGTGGGAGATATACAAATTTAAAAATGTTTTTAAATAATGCAAGGTTGAATAATATTATATCACACACACACAAAATAGGTAAAAAAAAATATGTAGGCAGAGTAGCTCGGTTAACTGTGGTTTTTGTTTTCGTCAGACGCAAGAGACGCGTACGTTACTACCATGTTTTATTTTGTGTTCTGAATATAATACAATATTTTACGATATGCATTATATTTTTTCATAACACACGACTCGTATTTTCTTTCAGAATAATGTTGTACGTACCCATGCATCACACGCTGAGACGTTAAAATAATAATAATATGATTCGTTCGTATTTGCTGGCACATAAAAATACCGGGAACCTTTATTTTCATTATTATAATAATATATTATACAATACTAAACAGTATACAATTTGTTTGTAACGTAAACATGATAATATTATTATACACGGAAGTGTACATAATCTCTTAATTAGTATTAGTAATTACACTGGTCCCGTAATACTAAGGCACGTGAGGCCGTATTTCGTACAAAATAATAATAATAATAATAATAATAATAATAATAATAAAAATAATTATAATAATAATCACATATGGTTTAAATCATTACACAAAATATATAAAACAAACGTTACATAGGTATCACATCAAAATATTTTGAAAAACACGACTGGATTTTAAATCGAAATGGTTTTATCTGAAAAAATATTTTTTAATTTGTCCGCATGTTTTACACAAACAATTTAAAACGAAAAATATTTGTACAAAACGCAAAGAAATGCGTAAAACGTTTTTACACACGATAATATGCGGACTGTTAATTTCCAACACCTAACACGATCGTATACAATAATTATTAATATAACGTACGATAGACAGACTTATAAATTAATATATATATATATATATATCGTATATCGTATATACATATTATGTGGAATTTTTTTATCCTTATGTGTATAGCCCCTAGTTCTCAAAATAATAATCTCACTGATTTCTTTTTTTTAGGTAAATAGTTTTCTTTCGTACGCACAGCGGCTATCGTCACTACGAACCGGCACGCGGCTAAACGATGATATAGGGGCAAGACAAACAAAACCAAAAAATAGGCCACATTATTATACTAAACAATAATATGTATATATAATATACATATTTTGCATAATATATATATACGATATAATAATAATAAAAATAATTATATCTAATAATAAAAAGGGGAAAAAGAGATGTAGAGAGATAGA